CCGAAATGAAGAAAAAAACTATAAGAAACCGTCCAAACCCGAGAAATGGGACCCCTTCCTTGCCCGTCACTTTGGAGCAGCGGCTCTCATTGTTGCTGCCCATTTCAGCGCTAATGCTTTATCTGCTGGAGGCTAGAGATTGCTGCGAGTGGCAAGCCAGTCGGTGGGCGTACCGTGTCGATAGTGGCGCGGGGACGCCCATACTAGGTCACCGGGGCATTTCCTTTGCTACGAATTGTGTGTCGGTCCACACCCTTAGGAGGACCGCTTGCCTTTCCACTAGGTAAGTTCCCCTTCTTAACTTCGACTTTATCGCGGAATCCTCTTTCAAGGCACGCAACACGCCTCCTCGCCCTTTTTGACGGATTTAGTGCCTTCAACTGAACAAAATTAGCTCCACCCCTGACAAGCTCAAGACTTCTAAAAAGTGTGAAGAAACCAGAGACCATATGCCATTTCCCCTCAGGGAGGATGATAAAAAAATCTTTCTGAATTTATTTGTATTCGACGAGTCGGTTCCTCTCCGCTTCCAGTACATACATGCTTACTTTTACACGAATACGTATGTATATTCATTATAAATAGCCCTTCCATAGAACCCCTTTCCATGGAAGGGCTATTTCCCTTTCCCTGCCCGTAAACAAAGGAAACTCGAAGGGATTTTTGAATCAGTTCCCTGGGAGAAAGATAGCACACGGCCCCAGATGTTGTGAGTGGGCCCATTCCGAAGGTGTGTCGCAGCTGATCTAACCTAAGCGCATCACCAGGTCTGGAAAGCGGGATGGTAACTCCATGGTCGCTAAATCAGATCATTTCCTCTGCACTACAAGTAGATGTTCATCTGAGCACTTGAAGACCTTAGCTGGCTGACAGCTTTCATGCCATAAACACTAGCGAGTAGTACTCGGGACTCTCAATTATGTGACTGAAGTTTGGGGTTAGCCTTACCTTTGACACCGGCGCGATACGTCATCGAAGCGAAACATGTGCTCTCCATTTCGATGTTTCTGACGCCTTTATCGTGAAGCCTCTTCAAGAAGTTAAATTTGTCGTCTGATTTGTATTCACAGAAAAAGCCATCGAGACGCATTTGTCCTGGAAAGTGTGTATTGCTGTCAGGTCTTAGTCGAAAATCAAAAGGGTCTGGATTTTGACACCTCAAGAAATGGGATCGAGCATTCGGCTTGATCATATCCTTTCTAAGACGTCTTTGCATTCTACGTGAATTCGGGATCGTACTGCCATTCAAATCTGATCTGGCCTATGAATGAGTTACAGCAGCCAGCATACGTGAAAGCCACTATTCTTGTACACCCTCACCCTTCACGTACCAACTACCCGACCTTAGACAGATAGAGCGCTAATTTGGTCCAAATTCGTTTAGGAATTCGACCGTACTGTTCTCGTGATAGGCGGCCTCATTTGCTACTTAGCTAAACCCGCACTTTAAATACTAATTTCGAACTATTCTCGAGATTTGGGTGAGAAGTAGCAACGATACGAACCTCAGCGTAGAGGGAAAATGTGAAGGCTCGAACATCATCTAAGTCTCAAAGTTCACAGTCGATTCATGCAAAATCAAGGATACATAACTCTTGGATAATCAATTACAAACGTATTTGACCTGCATAATGACCTCCAAGAAGCGATATCAACCTTTTCCTTTTCCAAGGATGATTTTGCACTCCTTTCATTCCACTGCATCCGTTCCTCGATCAGTCATGCCACACTTTTCCTTACTCCCCAGCAGGATTAACCGTTGGCAGGTAGAAGTACCAACGGGAAAAGTCATATTGGCGATTTGAAAAAGGGCCCGTATTTGCAAATACACCAAGATTAACTATCTGAAACATTGCGAGCGGAAGTCGTAGTTGTGGGTCCAAATCTTTGAAGGCTTTCTTTGACAGTGAACCCTCACGCTGTTTTCTGAAATCATAACTGATCCATTCTGTCCCTCCGCATAAATCATCAGTCATTCAACTAGGAGAAGTGCATTCCGGAAGTCTTTCATGGGATCATTAAGCCTTATTCATATAGTTCATGTAAGGCCGATTGACTAGCATCAGCTCAGAGGGAAGAAATTTGGAATTAGGTTTCAATTTTGCCTTGCAAGTTTCTATATTCATTCAAACTGTTCCAACTTTCGAATAAGACTCAATTGCATGGCTCGTCCCACATAGTCGTCCACGTTTCCATTAACGCCACAGGTTCGGGTTTAGGGGCAGAAGCGACTCTTCCCAAAGTAAGAAAGACTCGCCCTCAGGCCTAGGAGCTGCAACACTAATATTTTCAGGTTTTGGCAAGAGGAAGATATGGATATGCAAGGAGTACGCTATTGGTTTAGAGAATCTTTTAAGTGCAATTCCAATGAGGATAGTTTGAAATGCCTTCCTACATACGTACAGTCGATATCGAAAGTTAAAGCCCCACAAATTGGGGGAAAAAAAACTTGGTTATTGAGCGTAAGATTAAATTAATGATTGGAAGAGATTCGCGATAAAAACAGCAGCTAGAGTTGAGGTAGGGTCTTAAGTGGTGCCGAAATGATGAAAAAACTAGGAGAATTGGTCCAAACCCGAGAAATGGGACCCCTTCCTCGCCCATTGATTTTGGAGCAATGCGGACGTATAATTATGGGACGCAGTGTAGGAAATGTATTCGATAGGGGGGTATTTCATGGTGATTCATGGATTTATACGACCGCGACTTTTCCTCTGCTTGTGAGATATCGTTTTAATTGAGACCAAGTATGATATCCCTTCGAACTTATTACTTCCGGAGTTTATTCTCATTCCTTTCAGCTGGAGTATCCTCACCCATGTTTTCATTGAAGTTCGGAAGTATGATTCCCAGTCGGAGGTACAAGACCCTGGTACTTCAATGAAATGCGGCCTAGCATTCAAATTGTGTCGGCGCAATAAACTCGTACGAAAGCTCGTCCAGCGTTTTTTTTTTCGAGTAGATTTAGCGGCGAGTCATTTTCCCTTCTTTTTGCCTCTTCATTTCACAAAACACACATGAGAACAAACATGTTACTGTCAAAGCGAAGTGCGTAGCGAAAATGGCGACATTTAGCTCACATTTTCAGCTCTTATAGTATACCATAGCTGCTATTTACTTGCTACCTCAAAAAGTAGACTCCATTTCGAAAAACGAGAAGAGTGTCGGGTGCAGACCATGCACCACAAGTGACGACGGCCTCACAAAATGTAAATGTTTTCTGCCAATGAAATGATTAGCCTGTTGCAGTTGTATTCTATCAGTTGTCACTAATTACAACTATCACCAAAAATCAGCTATCACTATGAACCACTACTAACCAGATTTACTTGGAGGCCGTCGTCACTTGTGGTGTATGGTCTGCACCCGACGCTCTTCTCGTTTTTTGAAAGGAAGGTAAGCAAATGAAGCAGTCTCGACAAAGGCCTAGTGCCGTTATCCAGCATTTCTGAGCTGGAACAGTGAGAAATCTGCGACATTAGCGGATAGCTCTATCCTACCTAAGGATTCCTATATCTGATCTCATCGTGAGGTGTGCCTTCAAGGTTGGTTCGATAACACTATTATTACTTCCAGCTCACAAAAAAGTAAACAATAGATAGAATGCTTCGTAGTGCTCGACCAACGAAATGTGAGATATATTTATTGATTATTAGTTGATTCCCAGTTGTTTTCTGATGAGGGCAGTGACGAGACGGAAGGGTCGCTCCTCGAATTCGACGTACTGATCGTGTGGGATTTTCACTTGGTCGCCTTTCATACGATTCAGCAATGCCACACATACAATTGCAGCTGAAATTGATGGCGATTGAAAAAAAGAGCTGGCATTTTTTATAAATGATTTTCTTCTCTATCCTCCCTGGCCATATGTATTTGAACGGTCCAACAAATCTCATCAAAAATAATACCATTGTTTGGGACCAACATCAAGCCTACCAGGAGTGCGTCATGCTCCGTCTCTCCTTGGGAATCGCAGAGTTAATTGAATGGGTGATTGCTCCACGCTACAGCTTCTGGCACGCTCAGAGAATTTTCATGTCAACTTGCACTTGATTTTGTGGAGTATGAATGGTAATTGCAAACTCAAAACATTTCACCGTCTTCTGTCATTTGAGAGGAAATACACTGCGTCCCATAATTATACGTCCACCTAAGAATTTCCCAAAATCTCAGAAATACAGATGTTTCGAAAAAAGTCTCCTATGTGACAATGTATCGCATATAAATACGCAATTGCCTATGAACATCAATTTTCTATTTGAGATCACAGGAATTTTTCCCAATAATTTTTGTGTAAAAGGCCACTCAGCCGACGTCCCAAAATCGTATACGTCCACCTCATACGAAGTATGCCGCGCTCGGATGCGCCGGGTATTCCGATGTTCTCATTTCGTTGGCTGCTCTTGTCGTGGGTTTTATCGATGTACTTTCACTCTGTTTCACGAACTTTTTCTTCTTCGGTGGACACATCACTTCTTAAGGGACAGCAAATAGATCAAGTACTGGGTTGGTATTTTTGAGCAAAGATGGGGCAAAAATTTCGCTATCAAGAAACTGTTTGTGAACAAGATCGTGCAAATCGGTCATCCTAATTTGTGCCATATTCACCACACAAGCGTTGAAGAATTGGTTCAGGGGTTTAAAGGAGATGGGTTTTAATCCAAGAGCTCTAAAAGTCTCTCATTACTTTTCGATGGAAACAAAGGCCGGTGTTACAGAAATAACATCCATTTTCATCCAACGGTGCTCTGTCATCGAATCTTCTTGAGAACTTTATGCCTCAACAGACTTTTGTTTCATGCATGTAAAGGAATCCCAAGATCGTTCTTGATCGGAAAATGTGAAAGACGTTCATTTGTGGCAAGGAATCGTGGCGAAAACTGGGCTGATTTTTGCATGAAGGTGCAGCCCAGCCGACTGAAGTAAGGTTCGCTTCTGCCCTTCTGCCCGATATGTTTTGGCATTTGTTTGTTTCTCTTCTCACGTCTACCTTTCCCTTAATGGCTTTTTTCTTAGAGGAGCACTACTAAAAGAAAGAAAATGTTGAAAAGAAAGACGGACAAACACTCATGCATAGCAAGGAAAAAAGGACCCTGCTCCAGTCGGCTCGGCTGCACCTTCATGCAAAAATCAGCCCAGTTTTCGTCACGATTCCTTGCCACAAATGAACGTCTTTCACATTTTCCGATCAAGAACGATCTTGGGATTCCTTTACATGCATGAAACAAAAGTCTGTTGAGGCATAAAGTTCTCAAGAAGATTCGATGACAGAGCACCGCTCTCTCCGCTATATAGCACCGTTGGATTGAAAAGGATGTTATTTCTGTAACACGGCCTTTGTTTCCATCGAAAAGTAATGAGAGACTTTTAGAGCTCTTCTAAGCTCCATATCATGTGAAACCCCTGGAAAAATTCTCAAGCTTGGCGTGAATCTGGACCAAATCTGGTGCGATTGCGTTGTTCAACAGTTTTCTGCGACATTTTTCCCTTTCTCAAAATCCAACAGCAGTCTTTATTATGCTGTTCTTAAGAAGTGAAGTGTTACCACAATGAAAAAGTTTCGTGGAACAGAAGTGAAAAGTACCCTAAAATCCCATAGATAAGAGCGGTTTAATTTACCGGTGAAAAATGAATTGGAATGAAATTGAAATTGAATGCAGTCACCCCTCTAACTTGATGGATGGATAAATAAAAATCGGAGAAGAAGTTTAGAAGAAGCTCCGTCCCTCAACTCTAAACCCCGCCCACTTAATAAACAATTCATATAGAAAAATAGCGATTTTAACGGAATTTCTGCCGGAATCTCTCTAGAAATGCCGGAATTTGATCTCTGGATAGAACTTGAAGAGCCCATTCGATCAGTAAAATTCCATAGATAAGAGCGGTTTAATTTACCGGTAAAAAATGATTTTGAAAAAATATTTTTATTTTTATTTTATTTTTGAAAAAATATCTATGGACCGCTCTTATCTATGGGATTTTAGGGTAATTGATACACGTGAGGTGGACGTATAATTTTGGGACGTTCGGCTGAGTGGCCTTTTACACAAAAATTATTGGGAAAAAATTCCTGTGATCTCCAAATAGAAAATTGATGTTCATAGGCAATTGTATATACAGTGCGTTTCAAAAGTATGTGCACACCCTCAAAATTCACGTTTGAAAGGGAACCATGAGGTTTCGTGCTATGAAATCCTTCTCAATCGATTTCTCGTAGTCGATAACCTATCAATGGAAGCAAAGCAGATAATATCGCCTCACTTTCGGAAAAATTTTTTGGATGAAATTTTTTTCTTTGTTTCAAAAGTATGTGCACACTTGAAGAAGATCAGATTTTGGCGCCGAATTTCCACCGATTTCAATCCGACTTTGCTGTTTTCATTTCGTCATCATGTCAATTCGCGCCATACTTCTTCCTGAAGATGAGCAAGCTCAGATCAAGGTTCTGCATGATAATGAACGTTCCAATCTAGAAATCGCACGATAACTTGGTCGTTCTCCTTAATGCATTCGAAGATTTATCTGGCACCCTGATAATTATACTCAGCACACACTCCGCTCCATCCACGATCCTTGACTGCTCAGACAACAAAAGAGTAGCACACATCCTGTCGAATTCTTCATTGAGAGTCCGAGCTCAGATTTTTATTCCAGCCTCGAAAATAACCACTAAGTCCCTCATCCGCTCAAATGAATACACCACTCGACAGACGCTGAGAAAGGCTACACTCACTTCAAGGCCCAGCACAAGTTAGCCACATTGGAGTCTGCTCGTACAGACATGGCAACATAGGATAGGACACCGGGCGAAGACACGGTTTTTCGAGAATTTCCTATTTTCAAAACAAGCAACTTTTTATGGACTTTCTCTCCTCAGGTAATCTTAACTCATGGAAAGAGTTCGATCTTGACGGGCCGGGTGGATTTTGCTACTACTGGAGAGGCTTGGCCGAGAGTCGCTCGTGCTCTCGAGAAGGAATTTCGGGAAGAGGCCCGTTGATGGGTCTGCGGCGGTTTCGCAATCAGCGGAAATTCAGAAGTTGCCGTTCCATTATTGCGTATGAACTGTAAAGAATACCAAGCAGTGCTCCAATGTCACCTGTTGCCCTTCCTTAGCGAAGCGGAGCGAAAATTGCATTTTTAGCAACAGGACCACGTGTCTTTCGATGCTTCGCAATCTACCAAAGAATGGCCTTAACCAAATGGTGCTGAAGCGATAGATTGGCTTGTGTGTCCTCCTTACTGCAACCCTATAGGGAGCCCTTGATCAAGGCGTTAACTTTAGCAACCGGCAGTATAATACCGCGGATGAACTGAAGGCGGCGGTAGAGGCTATTTGGGCCGACAGCGACGAAACAGCTATGCCAAACGTGGTTCAGATTATGCCGGACAGGATGTTTGAGCTAATTAGAAACTCTGGAGGCCCCACTGATTTCTAATCTCAGCTATGTTTTTGTCTTTTGTTAAGTGTGCACATACTTTTGAAACAAAGAAAAAAATTTCATCCAAAATTTTTTTCGAAAGTGAGGCGATATTATCTGCTTTGCTTCCATTGATAGGTTATCGACTACGAGAAATCGATTGAGAAGGATTTCATAGCACGAACCTGGTGGTTCCTTTTTCAAACGCGAGTTTTGAGACTGTGCACATACTTTTGAAACGCACTGTATGCATACATTGCACATAGGAGATTTTTTCGTAACATTTGATCTTGAGATTTTGGGCGTAATTATTATACATTAATGTGCTTCAATGGTTCGCTTTTCACCTCAAAAAGAAAAATGAAGGTTTGGAGAAAATTTGGTAGTTCTCTGAAAGTAGCTTTTTTGTTATTACATACTTACCTATGTTTAGCGAAACGTGAAGTACTCCTTCTGATGAGTAAAGTTTAATATTGCCTCGATTCCCTTTCTCTGGGCGAGACACGGTTTGCGACGTATTAGCTTCTTGCTGCCCACCTCCTCTTTCCATGTCGATGACGGCACAACGGTTTCGTACTGATACCCGTTGAAAGGAAGGGGAGAGGGGTTGTGAAGTTTCGAAATCTGCACAATGCGCGGCCAACGCTGCCCACTATCCATGTTTCCGTTCGATCTCCCACATTTTCCCACTCTCCGCTAAACCTACACGGGAAAAAACGCTGGAGGAGTTTTTCGCGCCAACACAGTTTGAATTCCACGATGTATTTCGTTGTGGGACAAGGTCCACTGTCTCTCCAATGCCAATCGATCGGGGATCATCGTTCCGAATTTGAATGCGTAGTGATATTGGGGAGCAGGGTCAACCCTATCGTTGTTACTCTTTGGAAATTTTTTACGACCCCCCCCCTTCATGGGTGATTTGATACGACCCCCCTTGTATGTAACACTTGTGTAGAGACAGTGTTGCCATCAATATTTATTGCTACGTAAGTCCCTTTGGCCTCCTGACGGTGGAGCGCATTTGCTCACGGTGAAGAGGCGTCGAACGGGGAGTGTGAAAATTCGAGGAGTTTTTCTTTTTACATTTCAGGTAGTTCGGAAGATTCAGGTGGATTTTGGATCGATGTGGCTCCTCCTTCCTAACGAGTGCTCATTTGTTCTCAAACACTTCGGAATGAATAAGTTATTAGGCAAAAAATAAAATTGCAACACAATTTTTACACTCCTCTTTCTAGGGCTATAACTTCCTTCATATTCGAGCTTCTGCGCCGAAGTGATTTGATTTGGAAAATTCAAATTATTCTCTCTCCAACCATGGGTAAAAATTCTTCGAAAGTTAATTTATAAAAATTTAGTACGTTGTTACTTTTTTCTGTGCAAAGGCGACTTTTTGACCTTCAAACGATCATAACTTCCTTCAAAGTCATTCATTTGGGAAGCTGAACACGTATAATAAACTACAGGATTCAAGCTTTCTAACGAGCACCCAAGCGTTCCTGAAAGATCAGCAGTTCAAAAATTAGTCCCGTTGTTACTTTTTTTTTGAGGGGTATTCTTCAAGCCATTTTCTCGAAAACGCGAGTTTTCTTAGGTTTCACTGCCCGTAACTTCTTGGAAGACCAATTTCATGTTTAATTAGGATGTGCTAGAAAGCTCCGAGCATGCGCTTGCACTACATCCCTTGCCTTGGTGCGCGCCACGCCTCGGGCGCCCTTCTAATTCGCTGATTCATTTGAAAGCTCATTTAGAGGGAAGCGTGGTTTATAGATGCTCTAGTATCAGTCATCTTACGAAAACGTAACGTGCTGGCTATTATCCGATATTACCAAGAATCCCACTGTCGGCCACCGAGAGGGTACGACCCCCCCCCCTCCAAGCTCAACTGAGTACGACCCCCCCCGTTGTTACTCGTAACAACGTAGGGTTGACCCTGGTGGGAGGGTCGCGAGGCCGAGGCAGAGGGACTGCAAAATTTAATCAAAATCATTACTAAAGCGATTAAAGAACATGAGGTTGGGTGGTCGAGAGAAATTATGGGATATAACGCTGTCTCAAATGTTCCCAGCAATTTCGCTAACTGGAAACAAACTACTATGACAACTTAAGAAGGAAATTTGCTCTGCATGATTTTAGTTCAGCGCAGCTGTTTAGTTTATGATTGGCACGAAAGGTGTGTTTGTTTGCAGTTCTTACGAATTCAATGTTTTGGACAATATCGCGACACCAGATGGTAGGCCGTTGCTCGACTGATATGATGAACTTCCAACTTCGAAATTTATACATGCAGTAAGAATCCTTTGCGGCTATGACATGAAATCAACTAACGAAAATTAACGCTATCGCAGGTTACGGAATGTCCTTTAGGACTAAGCACAGGAGGAGAAGGAGCTCAGGGAAAGTGGAAGTTGTACCTACCCCCCCCCCTTTTTTTTCATCTCCGCTTAAGCTTAGTCCCGTTTTTAGCAAGAAAGGAGATTTTGACGCGGTTTTAAATGCACTGCCAATTCTCGCTTGCGATAGCGTCTGGAAATGTTCGTAGAGCTTGAGAGGGATTGCAGTTCTGCAGTAATGAATCACGAGCACTAGATACCCATGTCTTGATTATCTCCTCAAAAGCTATTTCTTAGCTTACTAATGGTCGGAAAAGTCATGCCGGCTACATATTACTACATATACAGTCGATATCCGAAAGTTGGGGTAGGCGTGTCACCGGAAGTGACGTGCACTTGATAGAAACTATGTGGATAAGCTGCTTCCAACATACATCGCTGGATATCAGCAAAGCATGCTGGCAACAGCTTATCCACGCACTTCTATCAAGTGCACGTCACTTCCGGTGACACACCCACCCCAACTTTCGGATATCGACTGTATGTCCGTCCGCAAAATGAAGTGAGTGATAAGGAAGCTCATGGGATAAACAACCGCTAACAAATCGGGTAGCTACAGGATTTGAGATATCAATGTTTTGTAGCAGGATAATTGTGATAACACTCTTAGGGCTATATAAACACCTGCTTAGCACACTTCCGTTCATTCCACATGGTGCTGCAGTGGCAGCTGGAGGGCAGTGGAGAGAGGAAGGGAGGATGAGGGAAGGCGAAAAATCTACCGTCATATCATGATTGTGTCCCTTTCTACTACATGAAACTCCCTTTTCTTTCATACGCGTCACCTCCGCAAGGTGGTGGTGTCACAAACGCAAAGCTTAAAGAAGGAAGGTGCTGGCGCTCGACGGAGGACCAATCTGGTATTCTAAAAATCCATGCTGGAAAAGCGGAACAAGGGGACTATTTCCTAGAATAGTCACGCTTCAGAAAATTTTCGTATTTACTCAAGAGCCAGTATCTAACTAGCCTGAGTGAACTGCAAAAAGGTAATCATCAAAGCAGTTATGAAGGAATGATGTGAATTCTTAGAGACACGCTTCGGGTTAGGCGCGCTCGCCTGCTCCATCCCGAGGGTAGTAGACAGGCGGACAAGCGTTAATGTCGCGCCCCTTTTGCCGCTTGAAAGTGGGCGGCCCATGACAGCGCCATGTTCTCCCTCCCTTTCTCCTCTCCCCCTTCCCTCCCTCTTCTCTCTCCCCCTCCCCCTCCCTTCCAGCCTCCCCTTTCTTGCCCCCTTCCCTCTACCCCCCTCCCCCCCCCGCTCATCCGGCTGCCACGGCAGCACCATGTAGAATGAGACTGAGTGTGCTCGATCGGTGTTTATATAGCCGCTGTGGGTTTATCATGATCATGACATCAACATCACGAAGTGTTGCCCTTCGTACTCCCTGGTTTTGTGAGCGGTTGGTCCGGACGGACAGAACGACACACGCACACACACACCGACAAACCGACACACCAAAGTTCTGGTTTATATAATGAAGTGATATTAGGACATCGGTATTTCTGTATTCTCTGTTCACCTACATTTCTTCAAAGGCGTAAATGTTGCCTCTTGTCTTATTCATGTAGACGCTTGTCCATGAGCATTATGCCATTATACGGAACAATATGACATGTTCTTGGAAACACCATTCGAATTCGTTGATCATACATTTCGCTAAGCGCAATTTCGGAAAGAAAAGAAAAGTGATTGTGCTCGAAGAATTTGACGTATACCGATATTCAGGAGCTAAATTATGTAAGAACCGCTTTGCTGCATTCCACTGTTCAACAAAATTCTTGCGTAGGTCCATACAAAATTTAAGATGTACTAGCCCGTCATTCTTATTTCTCTTCACTATGACGAAACACGCGTCCAAAATTCAGAAATGTGAAATTAAAAAATTTGCTTGTTTCGTGTGACTGTGAAAAATAGATAAAAATGCCTCAGAAAAGGTGCGACCGAACGATAAACTGCTGTGCACGTAAGCATGAGTTTCAACCGGCTGGTGTCCTAGCTTTGAGGTCGGAAGTGATTTTCAACCAGCTTACAAGGTGAAGCTGGTGACCTACTAACGAATCTCGACCTTTGGCACATCATCAAACTCGTCCTGGAGGGACCTATCCAAATCTGTTTCGAATCTTTTCGTTTCATTTATTTTTAACGGAGTTATGCCGGTGCGACAGTTTGTGATATTAATCTTTCAATCGGCGTCAATTTTTCGCAATCTGCGAGCGGTGTTGTACTTTTTGAGAAGAGAACACGTTGATGTTCCATAATTAAAACTAAAGAAAAGGTAGCCTTTTGTAAGAAAAGTTCGTAATTATTATACATTAATGTGCTTCAATGGTTCGCTTTACAC